TTATACATGTGACAGGCAAATGACCAATGTTTCTCTCTCACTTCTGTGTTTCTCTTTCTCTGCTTTCTCTCTCTAAAATCATTTTTTTAAATAAAAAAAAAGTCTAATTCAATCTTTAACTGGTGGGATTCTATGTTTTGCTACACAAAGAATTATAGTGCTTATTGTATATCAGGCATACTTTCATATATGAACTCATTTCATCGTCATATCGATTCTATGAAGTAGATACTTTTATTATGATTTTCCATTTAAGAGATGAACAAACGTAATTCCATCTCCATGTTTATCTTTTGAGTGAGGTGTTTTTCTACCATCCTCATACTTCAGTTACTGTGATGGTAACTCTTGTCTAAGATGCCTTTTGGGGTCTTCCCTGGGAAAGATGCCTACCAGTCAAGAGAGATGGGGTAAACCTAGCCATTAGGTAACCTTGTATCTTATTGCCTTTAGCAAGTACTATTTGACTTCCATCAAGTATTCACAAAAGTCAAGTTCACTTCCTCCTTTAGTGACATAGAACCTGCCTATTTATCTTTCCTCTTTCTCCTTTCAAGAGTCTAGAGCATATAAAAAATATCCTTCCTTCTATTTCCCTGTGCAGTTGGTGTAGCATACATCTTTGCACACTGAAGCAACTAAGTTAAGGAATAGTTCACCATAGGTTAACTTATTCTCCTACCTAGCACATCTCCAGCTCTTGTCTTAGCAAGTAATCCTTGTTTAGAGAATTCTCATGGGTTTTAAGAAGGTAGTGAACCCTACTAATAGCTATGCTCATAGTAAGATAGAAGATGACCTTTCAGATTTGGGACTGAGATAAACCATTCATACTGTACCTTAGCTGAAACAGTGTAGTGCTGGATAGGTGCCTACAGGAGCTGGAATTTGGGAAAAGGCTAACTCTGTTGCTTTTCCCATTACATTTAAGAAATGACAAATCATTGGCAATGATAGGAAAACCTGTCCAAACTGTTGCTACACCAAATAAATTTGGAACATATAATAATTAAAATATATGAAACATAGGGCATGGTTGAATAAAGATTTTCTGTATTGAAAAGAGCCTTAGAGATCACATAGTCCAATGGCTTCAGTTTCCTTATTTGTGTAATATGGAAAAAAGAAAGACTATGTCTTATTTATCTTTGTCACTTGAACACATGGTGTTCAATACATGTTTGTGCAGCTGTTTTATACTGAGAATTGTGAGTGACCTGCTCAAGAATACATAGCTAGTAATGGAGAAAACTGGATTAGAACCCTCATTTTATGCCTGTAACCTGTGTTTCTAGCTGCATACAGCAGGAGAGAGCCTATTCTAAAAATCAAAGTTTGAACCTCTAGAACATTACACTATGCAGCAAAAGCCTACTCAACCTTAGATGCCTATTTAAGTGGATATCAGTCCAACCCTCTGAAAACTGGTGGTAAGAGAATTTGGGGCATTTACTTCTAGCCACTCTTCTTAACCTTTGTTTGTTTTCAAAATAGAAAGGCCTCATGACTCTCTAATCCATAGATGTGAGACTTAATTTCTCTTCTTCAGGGATAAGCAGTTTTAAAAATGTGTAAACATAAGCAAATTCATCCAGAGAGGACAATGTCCTCACATTCCCATTCTCCAGGAGTTCAGAGTGGGAAAATACAGCTCTTCATTTTAGCTATAATTAATTACTTTGAGAGTATTACCTATTTCACCTGAGGGACCACAAAGAAAGAGTAGAAAGCAGGCCAAGTTATAACAAGGCATCATTCCCAGCATATTGCAAGCAGCAAGTGACACTTAAGGGAATAGCCACACAGCCTCAGTCAAACAGTGTGTTTTCTCAGGTTAATATTATTGGAATTATTAACTTCTGAATTGCTTCTAGAAGTAGCTACTTTGTACATGACGGGACCCCTGTGGTTAAGTGGAAAGAAAAGCCAATAAATTACCAAGCAGCACACATGATTAAAGAGCGGAGCTGGGAAAGAAAATGTTTGAGGTGTTCTAAATTTGTGGTCAGCACAGAGATAAATTAAGGAATATAAAAAGATAACCAAAGGCCCATATGTACTAGTATTGCCTACCCCAAGCCTTGTCAACTGCAATCCTGAGAATTTTCAACCAACAACAGGATCAGCAGTTCCCAGTCTTTGAGCCAGTTCTGACAGAAGCATCAAGAAAGTCAGTAATAGTGAGAGTCTTGTGTGCCAGACATTGTTCAAAACTCATCAAGATGAAATTTTTCAGTCCTCACAAGAACCCCATGAGGTTTTACAGAGGAGTAAACTGATGTTAAATAATGTGCCAAATGCCTTAGTTAAGACAATTCTAGCTGCTATAATATTAATAAGTGTCCCCAAAGCTCAAGACTTAACAAGAGTGTATTTCTTTCTCTTTCTCTTTTTTTTTTTTTTAATCCTCACCTGAGGACATGCTTAGAAAGAGGAAGGGGGAGAGAGAGAGAGGCGGAAACATCAAAGTGAAAGAGAGACATCCATCTGTTGCCCTGTGTATGCTCCCTAACCAGGGGTCAAACCTACAACCTAGGTATGTTCCCTGACCGGGAATTGAACTGCAAACCTTTTGGTGCACAGGATGATGGTCAACCAACTTAGCCACCCCAACCAGGCCGAAGTGTATTTCTTTCACACAAAATTTAGCACAGCTTGTAAATTACAAAGTACCTTACTCAAAGTCAATTGCTTCATAATTGAATTAATTTTCCAACTTGCCATCATTATTGCAAAACAGGTACTTTAGCCCTTATATATTAGAGCAAAGGCAAGTTACATCCCTCAAACAAAGAATGGCTACATCACCTCTATGATTTTGATAATGATGAGATAACAAATGTGTTTAAATTGGTACTATAACTATGTAGATTTAAAAAATTAGTTTTAGGAGCAAACATAAAACATCCCTAATAATAATAATGATAGAACTTAAGACATGCCAGGCATAGCTAAGTGCTTTATATCTATCTTTCACTTAACTCTTACAATCTCCCACTTAAGATAGTCCTGTTATTGTCATTTTAAAAAATTGTGAATGTATTTCTCTCTTTTATCTATTATTTTTTATGTTTTTATTGTAAAATAAAATGTTATGAAAATACACTGAACAAATATATGGCATAATGAGTTACTATAAGACAAACATAAGTAAACTCAGCTCAGGTCAAGAAACAAAATTGTGCCAGCCACCCCAGAAGGTCTTCCATTTTCCATGGCTAGTCAAAAACCTCTTCCTTCCCCTCTAAAATAACTTCTATCTTGGTTTCATAGTAATCACTTCCTTGTATTTATTTATAGCTCTATTTTTATGAAATTTGTTATATTTTTGAAATTTCTTTTTATCTATAGACTTCCCTTCCTACCCATTACTTTTATTAAGATTTACTCAATGAAGCCCGGCTGGGCGTGGCTCAGCAGTTGAGCATCGACCTAGGATCCAGGTGATCGGGTTTCAATCCCCAGTCAGGGGCGTGCAGGAGGCAGCCGATCAATGACTCTCTCATCATTGATGTTTCTCTCTCTCTCCCTCTCCTTTCCTCTCTCTGAAATCAATATATATAATTTATTTATGTATATATAAAGATTTACTCAATGAAGAACCCAAAGGATATGTTGCACAGGCATGGTATATTGCATGTTCCCTTGTCCTTAGTATTTTCTGGAAATCGGCACCTGGATCTCAAGCCTACATCAGACTGAAGTTTGTTCTCTTTAGTAAAACGATAGGCAGTGTACTTTAATCATGAGGCACACAAGTGTTTGGTTCAATATACTCTTTGTGTGTTGTTAGCAGTTGTTAATGTTCACTGCCTAGATCAAGTGATTAATTAGGGATTGAAAAATGGTAAAATTTTAAATTCCATTATAGAATTAGTCTATAGATAGTTCTTTATGAATAGATGCATCTTCTTATTTACCAATTGATTAGTGAGAGTTAAAATTCACATAGAAGGGGCAGGATAAATACTTCATCTTTCATTCTATTTACCTTTTTCAATATAAAGAAAAGTGAACTTCCAAACATGAATAATTCATTTTTAATATCATTATGTACTCATGGATTTAACATATTTAATGAATTTTAAGCCATTGTAATCTTGTTTTGCAGTATTTAATTGACATATGTATATCACATAAGATTTAGAATTTTAAGCATTTTTAAGTGTACAATTGAATTCAGTGGCATTACATTCATAATACCATGTAATCATCATTACTATCCACATTCTAGTTTTATGTGGGTTTTTATCATGACAGAGTTTTGAGTTGGGTCAAAAGCCTTTTTTTCATCAATTCAGAAAATCATGTGTTTTTTCTTTCTTCTCTAATGTAGTGTATTACTTTGATTTTCTAATATTAAACCATTCTTGTATTCCTGAGAGAAATCTGTTTGGTAATGGTGTGTAATGTTTTTAATGTGCTGTTGAAATCAGTTTGCTAAAATTTTGTTTAGGACTTTTGCATCTATATTTATAAGGAATATTGGTCTGTAACTCTTTTTTGTGATTTTTTTTTTTTTTTCTGGTTTTGGCATCTTAAAATGAATCAGCAATCTTCAAGAGAATAAACTGAATCTGTGGAAGAGTAAAAAGGGCCAGAGGCTAGTGAAGAAAATAAGCAACAACTGAAGGAAAGCAACAGTGAAGAAAGAAGCTGAAATGAAACAAATTGAAAAGCAACATCAGAGAAGAGTAGTATAGCTTCATTTCTGAAAGTAGTGACGGCAGTGCCATGGTTATGGAAGCAGAATTATCATCAGCTCCAGGTCCAAACGAGACTAGAACACAGGCAGGATAAAAACAGAGCTATATGAAGTTACCCAGAGCAAGTGGAGGTTCTTTTGTCTTAAGGGGCACCTGGATATCTCAGCTGGATTTTGACTACCTCAACTGAACATCCCTCAGAAACTCCATGACAAGGAAGAGGCTATTCTGTGGCTGTATATTCATTTTCTTTTCACTGTCACCATGGGACTTATTGCCAGTCATCAGAGGAGAGAAGAGGAAGGTCTAATAAAGTAAGAAACACCAAGTCAGAAATATGGAGAGCTAAATCCTCATACTCTGGCTTTTGGTTTCTAGGTGGCAGAAAATGAAAGTTATATAAATATATATTGCTTTAAATAGTGGGCCACCATTCAAGGCTTGGAAATCTTTGTTAAAAAGAAATTTCCAGCCCTGGCTTGTGGCTCAGTTGCTTGAAGTGTCATCTTGTACACCAAAAGGTTGTGGGTTTGATCCACCATTTGGGACATATACAGGGGGCAACCGATCAATATTTCTCTCTCACACTGATGGTTCTCTCTCTCTCACACACTCCATTCCTCTCTCTCTAAAATCAATAAACATGTCCTTGGGTGAGAAAAAAAAAATCCACCACAATATTAGTCAAGCTGTGGTTACTGTGACATAAGAGCTCTAATAGCTACACTTTATGGTGATGGGCAGCACTGATATATGGAGTATATGGGCAACTATAATTGAATCACAGTAGACTCTGGTCTTTTAGTCTATAACAGATCAGATTTCTATATAACCTAAGTAGTCAGTTACAAATATGATAAGCTTGCAGCTGTGCCTGGAAGGACCCTTGTACCAAAAGATGTTTTTTCCATCTGCTTGCTGATGACACAGTCCTTTAGCTGGAGATAAAACATCTTGTTCCTTAATGATATAAATGCTATGAAGTGAAATAACAGGGAAGGAGAAAAGAAGTAAGGGAGGAGAAAGTCAGAGAGTCTAGGGTGTGTGTGTTCAATCATAGAGAAAGGATTATTATAATTTATTTAGGAAAAAGATGGAGGCCTAGGGTGACATGTGCACAAACACACATACTTATGCACAATTTTCATCTTTTGACCTTGAGGTAGACCTATGTGCTATTATTACTCCACTTGTATGTCCATACAGAGGCTACTGTAACCTATGAGTAAATAAGCTTTGGGCACCCACTGAGCCAAAACCTATAGTACAAATGTTTTCAAACTTCCCAACACAAGGTATTTGCCTTTGCAGACAAACCTCAACCTGGAATACAACCTAAATTCCAACACTTTAAGTGGTGTCTGGCTCTCCAGGCCAGTCCACAAGAGCTGATTTGATACGCTAAGTAGTACAACTAATAGCATAAGCTTGAGAGCTGAAATCCAAGGGCAGTGGCCCATTTAGTATGCAGGAGAGGAAGGCAAAGTCAAGTTCTTACCCCAGGCAAAATTAAGAATGGGAAAAAGAGGTATTCATACAAATTGCTATCTACTCTTTAGATCATAGCTAAATGTTCTTTATCAATGTTGCCATTATTGATCCTCTATTCCCTGACCACTCCAATCTTATTATACACACATAGAGAATCCTGTAGTTTTCCTTTGTGGTATTTATCAGAATTATAACTTCTTGTGAGTGTTTTTAACTCCTGTTTTCCCCCACTAAACTGTGGGTCATATGGAAGATTGACCAAGCTCTGTTAAATCACTGTTGCATGCTCAACATTTAATCTAGTACCTGGCTCAAAAATTTATAATGAATGAATGAATATAGGTACTAGAGAAGAGTTATTTACTTCCCATTTGCTGTGTATGAGTCAGGAAGTTTCTAGTAAAAATTTTGAAATAAATAGGCACAAGGAAGCCTATGATACTCCAAAAAGTCCTCTCTCTCAAGGTCCTAAGTACCCTCATGTTAACGTAAACCCTCCTAAATGTGCCTTCTTCGCAGTTCAACACTACCACTTAAGTGTTCTATATTCTGAAGGATTTTTTCATTCTGTTTGTTTTTCAACTTACTGAAACCATAAGGTCCTTAAAAAGCTCATTAGTTCGTATAGGACTTTTTCCTTTGGGAATCTCCAGTGAAGATGGAGAGACAAAATCAGGAGGGTAAAAGGAAGTAGAAGGGAATTTGTTTGTATGGGTTGATTTTGTGTTCAACAGTAGTTTTCAAGCCAAGTATTAACATAGACCATGGGTTGAAAAACTATTTTGGTAACAACTCAGATAGTAAAAGAATTCAGCATTGTAATTATGCATTCTCTGGTACAACTACTAAATCCTACTTTTAAAAAAATGTTTTTATTAAATCTATTGGGGTAACATTGTTTAATGGGATCATATAGGTTTCAGGTGTGGATTTATATGTTACAAGATCTGTATATTGCACTGTGTGCCCACCACCCAAAGTCATATCTTCTCCTGTCACCATATATTAGGCCCCATTCACCTCCCCACCCCCTTCCCTCTGACAACCACCACAATGCTGTTTTTGTCCATGAGTTTCAGTTTTATATCCCACATATGAGTGAAATCATATGGTTCTTAGCTTTTTATGTTCACTTATTTAACCTAGCATGATATTCTCAAGGTCCATCCATGTTGTCACAAGTGGCAGTATTTCATAGTTTCTTATGGCTGAGTAGTATTCCATTGTGTATGTGTACCACACTTCTTTATCCAACCCTCTATCGAAGGACACTTTGATTGTTTCCTTGTCTTGGCCACCATGAACAATGCTGCAATGAACATAGGAGTGTATATATCTTTATGAATACATGTTTTCGAGTTTTTCAGGTATATGCCCAGGAGGTGGATTGCTGGGTCATATGGTAGCTCTATTCTTAATTTTTTGAGGAAACACCAGACTGTTTTCCATAGTGGCTGTACCAGTTTACATTCCCACTAGCAGTGAATGAGGGTTTCCTTTCTCCACAACCTATCCAACACTTGTTATTACTTGTCTTGTTAATAACTGCCATTCCAACAGGTGTGAGGTGGTATCTCATTGTAGGTTTGATTTGCATTTCCCTAATTGCTAGTGAGGTCGAACATCTTTTAATGTATCTGTTGGCTGTTTGTATGTCTTCTTGGGAGAGGTGTCTGTTCAGGTCCTCTGCCTATGTTTTAATTGGTTTTTTTGTTCAATTCTACTTTTGTAATAGCAAAGCAAAATACCTAAATAAATAGGTGTGTCTGTGTTCCAATAAAACTTTATTTACAAAAACAGATAACAGTCTGGATTTGACCTACAGGCTGTAGTTTATCCACTCCTGGGTCTAGAGGGCTTTTACCCAGAGACAGGGTGCCTTGCTTCATCACCTGGTACCTGATTTGGATATTCCTCAGATAGCAGAGCATCTCTTGAAGAAGAATTCCTTAGTGGAAAGGCCTGATGGAATATAGGACACTTAGAACACAGCTGTCAGTTCTTTCTTCTCTTATGACATCACTATTACAAATGAGTGGTGTATGAGTAGGAGAATTGGTTAATCTATTTGTACCATTTTAAACCCTGAGTTTTCTACACCTAATGTACTTACAGGTAATATGGTACTCCGTTAATATAGCAAGGGATGTGATCTTTTCTATATCATATTTGTGTAAGTTAGATTTCTAGAGAATCAAACAGTACTTGAAACCCCTCAGGCATATCACAATTTTGAGAACAAATATATGCAATTTACTACTGCATTTCTTTCCTAAAGAATCCAAGATGAGAGGAAAGGATATGAAATTGTTTGGTTATGGGGAGCTCTATGAGGAATGAAAGAGCATGCTAGAAAAGATTACAGAAGAGCAACCACTTCAGAAGAAGCTTGTGAATTTATCTAGGGCCATGTGACATAAGTGGATATAATTGAGTCCACAGTATTACCTGGACTCTGAGCCAGTTGTTTCCCTTTCAAAATAGGCACAGGATGCTTCAGGAGATAGCCCTTTGCCAAGTACCATTATCCATGAACAAAACCCTCTCTACTCCTCTTTGTTAAGTACTGTAGTATCTTCTCATGTAGTACTAGGAGCAAAAGGATACAACAAATTTAAAACATGACTACAACTCCCTAATTGAGTATTTGTATCCTAGCTGGATGGAGATCTTTGGATATCCTGATTTTGGGTGCAAGAAATCAGCTTAGGATATATATGGTTCACCTTTTGCCAAATATAACAGTGCTTAACAAAGTAGACTGATATCTCAGAGCCTAGGTTTAAATCCTGGTTCCCCCACTTACTATATGACTTTGACTATGTTACTTAAGTTTCCTGGACCTTGATTTCTCAAGCTTTCTAATATAAGATAACCTGTGGGAAGTGCTTAATTTACTACCTAACACATAGCAATCAATATAGGAGCTATTATTATTTTCCTCTTTACCTTCCTGCAGTATTGACAAAATAAATGTGAGGGTATGTAGAATTGTGAAAAAAGCAGTGAGGGAATCAGACAAATATGAGTTTAAATACTGATTCAAACACTTATTAGCTGTATGAGTATGAATAAGTTACCTTACATACATTAGCTTAGTTAATATCACTGAACTTCAGTTTCCTTGTCTGAAAAATGGGCATAATTTCATAAATATAATATGTTATAAATAATAATAATAATAATAATAGTAATAATTTTTGTGAATATTCAATCTTACTAGATGTTAGTTCTCTCCCCAACACTCTTTGGACCTCAAAATATTTAAAATGATAGAATATATTTTGTCTCTTTTCTGAGTTCTCTGTTTCATCCTGCAAATATTGCAATGCCTTCTTGTCCCTGTGAATTCTTACTGTTGTGTCCTACCTTAATTTCTCTATCTACAATGTTCTGGGTTAGAAAACTCTGGAGATCTGGAACCTAAGGGAATAGAATCCCAGGATGGTGATCCATTCTCATCTTGGAATGAGAGGCTAGGATAAGGACATAGAAGGCAATCATTGTAAATAAACAGAGCTATAGAATGTATCCACTATGATTTAGGACTGAAACAGTATCTTCCATGGAGATTGTAATGGGGTAATACACAGTCCTTCATTCCTCATTCCCAGCACAGGAGATACGCTCCTTTTCTAAACCTGTACAACTGTTGGCAGGATTTTCTTCAAGCTTTTTCCAATACCCCATTACTCTTTTTCCCATACTGGTTTAGAGTATAAGATATTCTTTTCTTCAGCAACCCCTGACTGGGTACTTCTAGGCTTGGCATTTCTGAACACAATCTAGTAAGATTCAGTGTATCCATAGATGACCCTGAGGC